AGTCCATCTTCCAGGATTAATCTTACCAAGAAGTAAAGAGAAAGATTTCCGAGAAGCCCAAGGTGTCTTCACCTAGTGGACACAAGTTCTCTGGCTTGTTCTCAGATTTCGAACAACCTGTAGGTGAATCGTACTCTATTATCGAAATATCCTTCCCATCTTCAATGATGGAGAAATCCAACATAGATACCGCCGCTGATGCGGTAGACCTCAATGAGCCATGACTTTAAGACACCCATGGCTGGCGAAACTTCCGTGGGCGATCCTAATACCTATGTGCATTATGTATGTGCCAGTGTCGTTTTTCATGGTAATAGTTTTGAGCCAAAACAACGTCCCTCAACCTATTGTCAGTATTGTATTGATGACCTTTCTACCCATGGATGCTAACAGTAGCTTAGCTCCGACCAGTTACGCCTCAAGATACGAGCGCCGACCTCTATACTTCGGTGAAGATTACCCTAAAGCAACCGCTGAGGTGGCAGAGTACAACATCGTATATACATGAGTTAGCTGGCGACGGCAACATTGTGACAGAATATTCTAACATAATCACAGTTCACCGCGTCGATACTATCAGGTGGAGTCTCATGTGCAAAAGCTGATATTGCTATGTACGCCGCCTACTGGAATGGAGACCGTGACGTATACCCAAGTAAGGAGTAAGATTGAAGCTACCTTGAGATACTTTGTGTGGCCAACCAATGTCGATTCCCATAGGTACATGCAAGTAAGGGGTAAAGTCCTTCAATGCTCGAGATATTTCTACCGCCGCCCTTTCCTGCCATGTCCATTGCGTGTAATCCTAACTTTTTATCTACATGTACCTATATGTAAGTATTTCAGGCGCCTGTTCTAGACTCAAAAATCAACCCACAATTTATGCGCGTTTGAGATACTCATCATGGCTGAAGGCGTTGTTGAGTTCAATACCACCTAAGCCCTGCCACGCATGGCACGAGGTAGTGGGGAGACTTGAACACATCCAAGATACCAATGATCGTCGTCCATGGAGTTTCCTAGGGGCTGCCACGGGTACCTGCTCCCCTGACTGACCTCGCACCCATTAGGCCCCTTGTGTTATACGACCAGATCGGCAACGGCCAATCGACATATCTACCAAACAAAGCTGGCGAGGAGGCTTCCTGGCTGGTAGACCTATTCAAGGACGAATGGACGATCTTATCTCTCATCCTGGTTTCAACGGAGCGCAGCTCGAAGCACAGGATGTCGCGATGCAACCCTTCTTCGATAACATTTCCAGGACGATGCGGTGCACTTCTCTCACGTTAGCCAACGAGAGAAGAGCATCCAGCATTTAGAGTCATTCTTATCATCGTAAACACTTAAGTAGGTCTGTGGGGTGGGGAGTGAGATACGACGATCCAATCTGTGTTCAGGCTCATGTCCTACATCTTGGAGGGCCAGGATTGGGTAGGTGACATACCCAGTATGGAGGCAATGTTGCATTACATGTAGGTACATGACACCATGTGTCGTGAGCTGGCCAATTATCTCGACTGCCCCCAATATCGAATTGATCGCCGAGGCTAAATTGCGGCCCTTTTACCCGTAACGACGATGAATCATAGTAAGATTTGGCGTACGGGGCCCAATTATGGGGGACCTGCTGTTACATTACGAAGAGGTATGAGCGCCAACGTGCGTCGCATCGCCTAATTCGACGGTAATGAAAATCAAAAAGCGACGGTTTTTTTCTTTTTTCTCTTGGCGGCGTGCATGTACGTATTGCAACAGTACCACCGTACCAATTTCAAATGATGTGTCACTCCGAAATGTTTCTTCCAAAGCTTGTTCAAACGTCAACCTCGAGGGGACTAAATAATCGGACCTCTACAGGAGCTGCTTCGTGATCTGGATTAGATGGGCTTATTCGCAATCCTGCCGGTTGGGACCGGATGCGGGTACCGTCAGATCGGAATTTTTATACCGTTAAAATAAGCGTAGCATCGTCGGCAGTTCGCCGATCCTGTACCAGGACCCATGTACTCCGTCCCGCAGTCTAAAAATAACAGGGGTGGCGGGCTAGGGGATAAGATGTAAGGCGTTCTTCCGGTCCAGACACTTCTTTCAGGTGCCCTGTCGTGTGACGGTCGCAGTCGTAGTCGTATTTACTTACCATATCTGAATCTTGGACGCAGACGTCGGGTCAATCATGGACCCGTCTTTGTGACCCTCTAACCTTTATTCCTCCCTCTCCGTCCTCTCCTCGAACACCCAATCCCCAGCATACCGAGCTATGGAGAAGAAGGACGTGATAGAGTCCGAGGATTCTTTTCCTAGGGAGGCGACGAAGGAGGAGATCGAAAACTTGACACACGAGCCCGATGATATTCCTATCATCGCGTGGTTGTTGACATTTACCGGCGCAGCATCATATCTAGCACGGTTCGGCTGCACGGTAGCATGGCGTATGTCCAGAAGTGGCCCTCTCTCTTAGGAATGACGTCTAATGGTATAGTTAGAGAACTATCTCCAGAACCCAAGAGGAAACCCTCACTTGCCAGGAGCGCTGGGACTCGGTCAAGCAACGGCGACGATAATCCAGAATGTGTTTCTATTCTTCCAGTACTTGACTCCACTGCCGCTTGGGCTGATATCCGATGCATGGCTTGGTCGCTACAGGGTTATGATGATTAGTCTTGCGTAGGTGGTCGCTTATGATGGTATAGACGTTTCCAGCTCATGACATTTAGATTCTTGGTGGTCGGGTACATCCTACTGTTCGTGACGTCTCTTCCAGCTGCGCTAGACCATGGGGCAGGTCTGGGAGGGTTCATAGGCACCATTTTCCTCATCGGCCTCGGCCACGGAGGCATGTCAGCAGTTATGTACGCATTCATTGGTGAGTGAGATGTGTCTTACCTACCAACTGAAGCACGGAGACTCATCTCGCGCATAGGCGACCAAATCCCCGAGAGGAAACCGATCGTAAAGAGAAACAAGAGCGGTGAACTCGTAGTGACCGACAGGAAGCTATCCATACAATATGTTTTCAACGGTTATTACTGGTAAGTCCTATCCGACATATCTCTTCCAGGCCCTTGTCGTCATCAGCGACCTGCCTGTTAGCATTCGAGTTAACATGGAGCTTCAGGATGGCGAACATTGCCTCCATCTCCTCCATTCCGACTACCTTCATGGAGAAGTACATTGACTTCTGGGCGGCATATCTCTTGCCAACGGCTCTGTTGGTCGTAGCAGTAATTCCGGTTATACTCTGGAATAAGAAACTTGGTTAGTTTAAAAGCAGCTAATTCGAGACGATTCCATGCCTAATCCAGTTTTTAGTCAAACCAGTTCCACAAGGCAATATCTTGCCTCAAGCGAGCCAAGTGGTTTTAATCGCTTGCCGTTCACGATTCAAGTTAACTGCCGCGGATCCGAACTATCAGAAAGAACATCACGATCGCACCGTTCCGTGGACTGCTTCATTCGTCCGCGAAATCAGCCGGGGCTTAAGGGCCTGCCGAGTCATGATCTGCTTCGTGATATTCTTCCTATGTTATAACCAAACCACCAACAACATCATCTCGCAAGCAGGCCAAATGGAACAGCAAGGCATCTCAAATGACACGATACAGGCGCTAAACCCAATCTTCTGTATCATACTCGGCCCGGTGATCCAAAGCCTGCTCTTTCCTTTCCTTCGCCGCCGCAAGATCGCCTTCGGGCCCATCCGGCGCATGACTGTCGCCTTCGTCTTCATCGCTGCGGGCATAGCTTACGCCGCAGGCCTGCAACAACTTGTTTATTCGAAAGGGCCGTGTTTTAATCACCCCTTGGAGTGCCCCGCCGCCAACATGGGAGACGAAGGCAATCAGGCAAGACCAAACGAAGTCAGCATTTGGCTCCAAACACCGCTGCATTTCTTACTTGCGATTGGCGAGATCCTTGGCGTCGTGTCACTGAACGAATTCACGTATGCGGAAGCACCTACCAACATGAAAGCCGTCGTTTTAGCCTTCCAACAAGTAGCGGTTGCTGTTGCCGCCGCATTAGGAGCGGCGTTGGGGCCGGTTTCGAAGGACCCGGACTTGGTCATACTGTATGCATCTCTAGCAGGGACGATGGCTCTTTCCGCCGTGTTGTTTTGGGCGGTGTTCCGGAGGTACGACACCACGTCTGAGAAGATTCAAGATGAGAACTCCACGGATACAAATCAAAGCGGGAGCGATGTTGAAGGCGGCAAAGTCAGTGATAAGGCCCATGATTAGATGCATCTAGATTCTTAGACAATAATGCAAGATTGCCAGGTCTTTGACTCGCCATAGCTGCATTTCAGCCAAACCGGTCCCGTGTAGCCCCACTTAAGGTGAACTGCCACGAGACGTAAATTCCAAGAGGCAAGTCCGTCAATCTCACAAGGCTGGGGAACCTTCTGCGGCTCGCATGCCGGACAAGGGGGGTTAAAAGCCAACTCCGTAATACTAGTCCATATGTAGCGTTAAGGCGCTAGCCGCAGAGCAAACATCGGAGACCAAAGATCCGGGGTTTGAAATGAGGAAGGGGTGAAGAACGGCCGAGTGGTATAAGCCAAATAGAAAGCGGACCTACTCGGAGTGGGGCGAGCCCGGTCTGTCGTTCCGTATTCTTTCAAACCGGTTCTTTAGGTGGGGCTAGCGCCGAAGCCAAAACGGAGCAACGGAAGGCTAACTGCCAAAGCCAGTCGGTGTATCACGCAAGAACCGGTATTTTAGTCAGCAGGTGTAACGCTCGTTGTGGACCAGTTTGCTTGTCGCCGAGTTGTCTGCGCACGAATAATAACCGTTCTGTGATGCGTTGGCGATAGCTTCATTGACTCGATAAATACGCCGATTTTGATCAGAAAAGCACTTGATGGAGTCCAGGCCACCGAGGTGATGAAATGTGGGAAGGTGTGGGAAGATAGGGAGAGCGGTGTAGGGTATAACAGGTGAAAGGAATGTGGTGAATGGTCGTTATAAGGAGTAAGGAAAGAAGAAAATGAAAAAACGATGCGCCATACCCGGGATTCGAACCCGGAACCCTTGGTTTCGGAAACCAGTGAGATAACCATTTCTCCAGTATGGCTTCAAATTTCGTGACTAACCAACTGAGCCGTTTAGGTTATCAGATTGCAAAAAACTTTCACATTATGTGGTAATGCATAAGTACTAATAATTGTCGGCGCGACTGATCATGAATAGCCTCTCACGGCGCATAGAAGGGCATATATATCACGGCGTGAGCTGATGATGCAGAAACAACGGCGGTGATGTGTGTGGGAGCCTCAACAAAGCAGCCGGGGCCTACGTGGCATATAAGACAGATCCTTTCACGCTTCCTCCTCACCTCCTATCCTAACAGACAAACTGTGATACCCAGAGGGCCATAGACCGAAGGCCAAGTAGCCACAAGAATGCAACGTATATATGTTGAATAGCAAGGTGTTGTGTTGCATTAGACAGTCAGTTTCATGCCTTCTAAGGCACCTTTATCGCTTCCCAGGAGGATCAGAAGTTTTCAGCCTCCTGATTCACATCATTGCACAGTTTCAAGAATTCGAGCATGGCTTCTTTCAGTCCTGGACTATGCGAAGGTAGAGTGGTTTCCTTAGTGCAATATGCCATTGCCGTACTGCAGAATGATACTAAATTGGGATGTGAAATGTCTCAATCATCCTTCCATATTTCAAGTCCTACCTCGTTCAGATTTGACTCAAGATACTCCTATTTGACCTGCTACTAGGCTTATAGGGGGTAACTTGAACAGGGTTCATGTCTCAGTAATGGCAAGTACAAGTTATTAGTCTCAAGTCCCACCTACGTATAGCACTTATTTCTCATCGCATCGTACAAAAGGATATCTCTATACTTAGTAGATAGTGTTAAACTATTCAATCAATTCGACCTGGTAAAAAGGGTATGATGAAAAAGGTACAATTTACGGTTGTATATATCCCTAAATATATACACGATTAGGTATATTTTGTTACTATACATTAGCAGAATAGATAATATCCTCCATACAGATCTTAGATCCTGCTTGATATGAGGAGTATAGTATCAATTAAACTTGCCCACTCATAGTGTTACGAGGCGGACAAAGCAGCGTACAGAAGGATAAGGTTATTGAGTAAGGAGTCTTGACTCTTCATTAGTTGAGTGTGTATATCATAGGGACCCTATGTCTCCCGTGGGTATCCCTATCCTCGGAGGAGAGTCCTCCCGTATATGACCAAGGGACCAAAAGTCCAACCCCTACCCGAAGGACAAGGTCTACCCAGGCGCAGACGATTCGCTATTCTGTGATTTAAATATTTGAAGCTGCGTTCTATATCCATCTTATTTATTTAGAGAAAATATAATTCATTTTTATGACGAAACATGCTGTGTGGTCGAGTAGCGAGAGCAAAATGAAACCAGGGGGAAGTCATTCGCAGGTGGTCAGACTAGTCACCAGCTGGCATAGTATTGACCAATAAGAAATATTATAATTACTAATAAGTGGATATGGGGGACATCGGAGTTACGACCGCTCGGAGCTATGTACCGTATTACCGGGAAACTGGGCAGACGGACGGACGTAATGAACGAACCATACACGCATTAAGACGAAAAAAAAGAGCGCGAAGAATCCTCAAGAGCAAAAGGCTGACATGGCACTTGCTAGATATACTAGTTTTCCAACAGGTTGTGATCCTGTTGTGATATCTCAATGTCTTTGCGACCGTTAACCAGAGTTCCGTGGTGGAGGCGCGCCACCTCTTCCAGAAGACCTTCGCTATTCCCGCTTACGATAACGACGACACGTCGATATCTGAATACGGTTCCGAAATGTCCTGAACCGACATGCGACTGCGCCGATACACCATCTATGCCATGGGGGCAAGGGATCGACAAGAATGGCAACCTGAATGGCCTCATGGCCGCCTATGCGCAGCAGGTCTTAATATGCACTGGCAAGGATCACTGGGCGTCACGCATAGACGAGGACAATGGCGGTGACAATCTGGCTGCCGACCTGAGAGAACTGATTGGTAGAGGAGGTGTGTATAGCGATGTGAGTGTTGTTATTTCGTCCTGTAGATGGGCTAGTTAACCAGCCCTGTGTGCTGTCCCCGGATATCACGGAAAATACAATGTTCGCGGTGGCTAACAATGGGTATTTGCAGCCTTACCACAACATATCCGTCATAAACAGTTCTTTTCCTTCCGCCATCTCCAGACGGCCGGAGGTGCAGACCACGTCCGTCTACCTGCTCCCCAGCTTCAAATACGTCCCATTCCTCCCGAGAGTTTCTTTCGACTCCGTGCAAGCCCTAGTCAAGGGTTACCTCCTTCCGGAGAAGCTCCACCCCATGCATGACGGTTTGTCTCCGATACACAAGGATCGTTTAACACGAAAGGAGGCGTACCAAAATCTGCTGTACGGCGTACGCGACGTTGATGATGTGCTTGTTCTGATCTGCGGGCATGGGCAGCGAGATAAGCGATGCGGCATCTACGGCCCCGTTCTCCAGGAAGAGTTTGAGAGACAGCTACCCCGGGCGGGATTCGATGTCCTTCACGGACCAGCGGTTGACGAGAGCGTCACAGCCCCGCAGCTGTCCGGTACCACATCAGGGCAAGAAATCCCACGCACAGCGAGGGTCGGCCAGATCAGCCATATTGGAGGGCATAAATTCGCGGGAAACGTCATCATCTACTTACCACCGACTTTCAAGAACAGCGCTGGTAATCCACATCCACTCGCCGGTCACGGAATTTGGTATGGGAGAATAGATCCGAAGCATGTTGAGGGTGTTATAAAAGAGACTATCATAAACGGCAATGTCATCGCAGACCATTTTAGAGGCGGGATCAACCAGAACGGAGATATCCTTAGATTATAGATTCTCACTGGATCGGAACGGCACAGATGCGTTGGGGGTCCAGGAGGCTCACGGTCTTGCATTATGATATATGCGAACTCTCCTACTCGTGGGTTGCTCTTTGCCCGGAGGTGTAATATAGGGAAAGGCGCTTGGCTTAGAAATGGTTGGCTTCAGTGATCTCAACTCCGGATACATAGGGCAGGATAGAAAGTTGATTGCCTTAGACAATGTCTGCTGTAAATATGTGAAACGAAATTACCTGAACTTTTATTTGTTGATGCGATTTGAATTTCAAAGAAATACCTACTTACTTGTATGTAGGTATATCCAGTTGGACGCCGACCATTCGACAAGTAGCTTCCCGTATTTGCCATCTGTCACTATACTTTGACACCTGGCAAACGACATAATCTGCCTCTCATCAGCTGGCGCTAGACTTACAGCTCGGAATTTTTGACGGTCAAACTACAACTTATCACACTTATGATACGAAGAGTGAGCATCCTCACGTCAAAAATCTCACCCCTGTTGACTACAACATGAGTTGATATAAATGAATCACGAATTAGCAATAAGATGGGCCTGCCGGATGAGACAATGTCTCCAGAGCTCGCGAATTACCAGCCCTAGGTCTTGCCAATTGCTCATACGAAGGAGCCCACAGCATCACCAAACACTGTCTCATACCATCTCTCAACCTCTTCCCCAACGTCGATCATTCTCAGGTGTACCGCCACGACGCAACATCGAGACTCAGACCCCGCCAGCCGGTGACCCACAGCCACAGCAGTCCTCCAAGAAACAGGGGACATATCGCTCATGGATTCTCTTCAACGCGGCGGGCCTAAGCGCCGCCCTCATAGTCGCAATCGTGCTGAAGAGTTCCCCTTCTGGCAGCAGTAAGGATGCGGGCGCTATCATGAACACGACTTCCTTCAGCCCCTTCACCATCACAGCCAAGGAGCAAGTCTCGCCCACGGCTTTCGTGCTGAGCGTAAGAGCCGGCGACACCTTCTCCCCTAGCAGTAACGGCGGCGGGGGCAGTAAGTTACTTAACGAGGCTTGGAAGCACGGTCTCTGGTCCGTCGAGGTCAAGCAGCCGCAGCTGCAAATCGCGCGGCACTACACGCCCTTGCCTCCTCCGCCTTCCTCGCCTAATAGCGCCGCTGCGGAGGAGGATGGAGAGCTGCTAAGGTTCCTGGTTCGCAAGGTCGATGGCGGCGAGATGTCGACGTACCTGAGCAAACTGCGTGTCGGCGAGAAGATCTGGCTCCGTGGCCCGCATCTCGGGTTCGACGTCGCAAGACGGCTGGGCGATGCTAAGAATGTGGTGTTTCTTGCTGGTGGCACGGGGATTGCGCCGGCGCTGCAGGTCGCGCGGCGGTTGCTGGAGGACGGGGTCCCTAATTCTAGCTCTGACGCTACGTCTACTTCATCTGCCGCAGGAGCTCGGAACGGACCGCAGAATGAGAAGCCCACCATATCGATCCTCTGGGCGAACCGGCGAACTGCCGATGCATTGGGCCGACAATCACAATGCCTTCCAAACCCCAGCACCGGAAAGAGCTCGTGGTTCAGCGGCTGGTGGCACACCAACACCCTATCAACCGCACCACCCAAGCAGCCAGAAGCAGACACACAAGAATCCTCGCTCGCGCAGCAGATCCGCACCCTACAGCAAAAACACTCCGGCCACTTCCGCATCGATTACTTCGTGGACGAAGAGCGGCGATTCATCAACGACCAGGACGTCCGCGCCGCTCTAACATCCACAACCTCCTCTTCCGCATCAGCATCAGCGCAACCCCTCCTCCCCATCAGCCCGTCTTGCCCCTGGCACGCACACGTGGCGCTCGAGAGCCTGCCCGACGACAATGACGCTGGGCGGCGAAATCTAGGGTGTGTGTGTGCGCGCCAAAGTGCGAGCAACGGAGGCACGGGGAGTGCCGAAAGCGAGCTGACAGGTGCGAACTTGGTCTGTGTGTCCGGGCCCGACGGCTTCGTAGCTGCGCTCGCGGGGCCGAAGCGTTGGCACGGCGGCGGCGAGATGCAAGGCCCGCTTGGCGGTGTGTTGGGGCGGCTGATAGAAGGTGGTGGTGTGGGAGGGAACTGGCTTGTTTTGAAGCTGTAGGTTGAAGAGCGAAAGGCTTCTAGCTACCTGTGAGGGGCGGTGTACATTATTTTCCCGGCCATGATATGATACTACGTTTTAGAA